GGGAAGAGGCTGTGGCACTTGGCCTGCTGAGACCGAACTGTGGTTTGTCTGGGGATGCAGTGAGGAGGGAGCGGCGGGAAATCTTATTGAGCTAGCGCCCCAGTCTTTGGAGATGCCTTGCAGAGGGGTGAGCGAGAGGAAGTACTGAGGATGCTCTCCAGGTTTCCGGTAAAGGGCAACCGGTTCCATGGAGTTTCCATTTGTCCTACTCTAGAGGAGAAGCAGGCTTGTATGTGAAGATCAAGAGTCCCCTGTTGGTCTCTGCCCAAGCCTAAGGATCCTCCTACTTCCTTACTCCACCCTTACTTGGGTTTCCTTTCCCCCAGGCCTGGCGGTGGGTCCCAACTAGTCTCCACCCCTTGCTGCCCACACTCAAAGAACCTTTCCTCCCTTTTGTTCTGTGAAAGACCTTCGTGCCACTCAGCAATGAATGGAGCTGTCTTTAAGTTAGTAAATGGTGTGCCAGAGCCCTCGGGCCCGGTTATTATAAGAAAATTATAATAAACAAACAAAAAAGTCATTTCCAGAGTCATTATCTAACGCAGGATTCAGTATAATGACGTGGTTAAGAGCACATACTCTGAAAAACCCAGCTCATAGATACAGATTAGTGATTTCCAGAGGCAGGGATTTGTGGGGGTAAGAAGAGGAAGGGATGGGCAAAGTGGATAAAGGGGATCAAAAAGTACAGACTTCCAGTTACAAAATATGGGAATGTAATGTATGGCATAGTAGCGGTGCTTAATAATAATAATAGGATGTATCGCCTATTTACAAGTTCTTAGGAGTAAATCTAACCATGAGTAAAAAATTGTAACTCTGAATGAAGCTAACAAGGCTTATTTTGGTGATCAGGTAGCAAGAAAAACACATTAAATCATGTACACATGAAACTGTTACATGTTAAATATTCCTCAATACTTGAAAAAAAATTAAAAGTCACACAAGGCAACACATTAAAAAAATACATGATAGATTAATCAAAATGAAATTCTAAAAAATGTCCAGGTAGCTCACAGGAAGGGAAAAGAAAAGGGAGAAACTAGGAAACAAACTTAACAACAACAACAACAAAAATACAGAACAAAGATAACATGACAGACTGAGTACTGTCAAAAAAACAACACAGACTGGGCCCTCTCTGGTGGCGTAGACGGTTGAAGCTGTAGCACTGAGAATCGAAAGCCACTTCCGCAAGAGATAAATCCCCGCCCACTCTGGGGGTGACCCATGTGGCGCAGCAGACCTCTCCTGACCTGCCCGCTGCTCCCCTCAGCAGTGTACTTCATCAACCTGCC